AAGGATATAGAGCCGGTGGAAATGATTGTCCAGGACGTTTTTGGATGAAGAATGATGGTAAGCGGCTTATGCTCATCGACGAATGGTAAAAGGCATTGTGGCCAGCCCACTTGGCTTCTGTATCATTTGTCTATTCATTGTAACTCAGACTCTTAATTCACTATGTTAATTTCGGTGTGTATGATCGAACGAATGTCTGTACATTAACTGTTAAGCTATCATCCTATTGGTTTCAATGTGCAGATAATCGATAATTTATCCACACCCGATTAACTCTCAAAAATATATATGGATTTTTAAACACACACACACTCACTCACTATGTTTCATCGTGTGCTTGCTCACCGTACGCTTGTGGATTTTTATTAATCATTAACAATAAACTATCTCTATAACTGGTGTTCAGGCTTCTCAATAATCTCGAATAAATCCGCAATTCTACTAGGAGATTAAGCCTACCTTAAATACTCAGTTTACGGGATATTATTTATTGGAGTCAGATATTGAGGGTATTAGCCTCAACAGCATACGTAGACATGAAGTTACAAATCAATGTTTGGCCGTGACGTGTTAGATAATAAATAACATTGTTTATTTAGGCTATGCTATTACAGTTGAAAATTAATTATAAACATTTGCCTGACTGCTTGTTTTTATTCCATGCTTCCCGTGAAATTCTAGCGGAATCCTGTATGCAAAATCCTAGTGATATAGTCTTGTCAACTGCAACACCGAATGCAGATATTCAATCCTATCCTCATAAATCTATTCAGCATACTTCAATCAATAATATCGCCTCCATAAAAGCTAGTGGTAGTCAGATGTGCTCATCGATCAGTTGTAACAATGATCAAAATACCGCAGAATTGTCAGCGAATTGTAGTGAAAACTTTATTTCAAGAAGTTATGTTAATCGATTTACAGCTTTGTCAGACGTCATGATTAATTTGTAATAAATGTTCTTACTTAAAATTTTCTTGTTGATATTCTCCTAAATTGTACGGCATATTCATTTTAGCATATTGTCATTTACTAATCGAATAATTATGACATAGATAAAGATATTAAGTACCTCTAGTTGAAAGTCGAGTGTTTCATTGTTTAGGTTCAAGTAAATATTTAGAATGCATTATCTTTACACATATCTATGAACTTTGAGCAACATGTTAAAGTATATGACGGAAATCGTTTGTGCACATCACTCTAACATTACGCGAAAAAAGACAACCGAATAGCCTTACTTTTGAGAACTTCCATAAGTGTTTTCGACAATGAAAAAATAGGGTAAACGGACTGCCACAGATAGGCAGTATTTGGGAATAGATAAGTTTAAATAAAACCTGAATTAAATGATAAAAACTAATTTACAATATTTGCATTTAATTCCAAGACCTAAAACCTTTGGTATTAGTTATGAACTGAACTACATCGACTTTAAGAATAACATTAAAATAATAAAATAAGACGATACTTGTGTATCCTTGATGTTATTTCATCACTGAAACAAACATCCAACCAAATAGTTAATTTTAAGTTGGTATTTAAATTACTTTAAAAAGGTACTCCCGATTTTCTGCTTTGCGGAATGTTCATATTTCCATGGGTTGCTGTAAAATGATATATATATATATATATATATATATATATATATATATATATATATACATATTTCTTACCGTTTCTCTAAAAACGCCTTACAGCCAACTTAATTTCAAGTTTTATTTATTTCGATGTTTTAATGGACCATGAAGTCACTACCAATATATGCTTAGATGCTTCTGGAAATCAATGCAAACTGTGAACAAGCGGTGACTCATCGAATGCATCAACAAATACAACTTATACTAGTAATGAAATTAATAATTACAATAAAGCTTTTTGTATAAAGCAACCAGAGCATATGCCCAGTTCATCATTTACATGTACAGCATTGTCATCAACTGTAACAGTTTAGAGTTAACGGCGTTGGAAAATATACTCGATACTTTTTTCGGCTACATTTTAGTTTCTTGTTCTACATGTAACGCTCCAATCTTTATATACACTACTTCATTTAAGATTCCGATTTCTTGATAACTTTTTTTCTACTATTTGTTAAGCGAGTGTACTTCAATTTGTCGTAACACTTCCTTGTGGTCTGTTGGTTGTTTGTTTGTACGTCAGTAGATCCATGTAAGTCTGAATAATTTGTACCGCTACTGCTACTTTAAAAAACAATGTAAGTTCAAAAATAATATTTCTCATCCTTCATGTTACTGTATGTAGTTAGGTATATACTGTTGCTCTTCATTATTGTCATATTATCTTTTGTTTCCCTTGATGAACCTGTACTCATGTTTACGGTATATTTTCCTGATTTACTTCCCCACCCATTTACATTACATTTGTATTTTCATCCTGTGTATGAGGGATGTTTTCTCACTAAATGTTCCTGTCTTCTACTGTACTGATAAAACTATGGTTGAAATTCTGTTAATAACATGTATGAAATATAAATTATGTTACAACACTTGTCTAGAATTTATGTTACGCCATCTTTAAAAACAAATCTGACCAGCGCTTCGGTAAAGATATAATTAAATACAGTTCAACTGACATGCGAATTCCTATCTATTACGCGAGACGTGATTCTAAAACAATAAGCTCCAACCTGAGTTACCAAGTTTAATCGAGCGTTTACAACTAACTAGCCAATGTTAACTAGGATTAGGAACAAGAGGCATCGGCGACAGAGTTTAAAATCCCAGGTGGTCTGTGTAGAACTGCTTTAAAATCAAATAGGCAGGTGAATTAAGTGTTGAAAACGAGGTCAAGAATATTCACTTATTATTAATTACGACGCTGTATGCTAACACACATCACTTATTCACGAACAAACCATGGGATTTTCCGTAGTGAATCAGTGATAGCAAGACTACTAACGATGACAACTACCAAATGGTTAACACCTCCTGGAATAATCAACTTCGAGAATAGTACATCGACCTCAAACCTAGAGCATTCGGATCATACTTCATATGAATTCTCTGAATGGACTCCTCCTTATCGATCCTTATACCATAAAGATATTCGTAGATCAACCTTAGATATTGTCTGGCTTGTTGCCACGGAGACTGAGTTATGAAACCTAGGCCAAACACCTGCATATCTTGACAACATACATACCATCCAATCAGACCCAAGAAACGAATTCCCATGTAATCTTTTGTTATGACATCCTAGGGCAACATAAATGCGATTTGTTAATTACCATGAGTGTTCATGAACACCGTGACTGGTAAGAGGTACCCAGCTTTTATATGTACGCTGACAGGATTGCCATCTCCTGGTTAACTTCCAAAGCTAAAACTCGCTTTCTGGGAAGCTAATGCAATGTGACTGCGGGAAATCTGTCCGATCAAATGGACAGTTTTATAAGACTTGTTGCTTGTGCAACCTAGCCTTCTTCGTAAGAACTGTAGCTACCACGGCTCATCTTTCTTTATCCGAATACATTTCTAGCTTTGGATAATCCTGTAACAAGTAGCAGGGACTCAGTGCACACAGCAAAACTAACTCTGTAAATTACCTCGAAAAATCGACTATCAATTTTTCAGCAGCATTTTTCCATAGAACATGAATCGTTTGTTGCGTATAGACAGCAGATATTTTGATCGGCGATCAGTGCAGTCTACTACCAGACGTTTTATTATTGGTACTGACCCAAAGATACCATTATATAAACATCATATAAAGTCATCAGTTAGTAGTAATACAATACAACCTTCAATTTATTTGGGAAATAGCCAATCACTCAGTCTACAGGAATAAAATGGTGATCAAACAGCAATCTATTCATGGATCCAAGGGTCAACGGCTTGTTTATATTGACATAGTTCTTGTGGAGTAAACCATAAGTTGATTTCCCTGTTAGCACTTTCAGCTGAGTCTGATCCGTGGACAACATTTCTTCCTACGTCTTGGCAGTAGTCTCCCCTTATTGATCCAGGACAACTTGCTTCAGGTTTAGTAGCACCTAACATTGTACGTCCGTTCTCAACAACCTAAAGTAAAAAAAAATAGTGGAAAATGCATGTGCAGTAATACGCAACGAAGAAATTACAAGTGTTAAAGGTTAGAAACTTTCTCCATTGAATCAAAAACATAGTAAATATGACCGACAGTGAGGGGACATTAGGCAAACACTGAAATAACTGTGGGACTTGTTCACATAGAGTGAGGTTTAATGAGTTACAGTTGTCATACTTCTGATACTGTTTGCTTAATGTAGCAGTCCTGATGACGAGACTTTTAGGGATTAACGGTTTAGTAATCTTCTTACATTGAAGTTAAGAACGGCTTCTATATCTAGCTTTCATTCTGTTGGTATAAATCGCCTTAGATGTATCACTACAAAATCTTAAAGTTGTTACATGACAAACGAACAGAAAAAGAAGGACGGTTGGTGCTAACATGAAACTTAAACTTGATTTTAACGGCCTGTCGCAGCCGTTGAGTTGTATAAAGAGCACTTCGGCCTATTACGGTATTGCATTGGGCATACATGTTCATTTGAAATTCGTCGTGAAGACTGGGAAACTGAAGGAGCGGAAAGTGGCAACATTTGCAAGTTTTTATCATATGAACCATCGATTCACCTTAACGTTTTTTAATAGTCTATATGCACGCTGATAACCCCAACTCATATGTATGGACAGATGTAACAGTAACAGTAAGCATTAGCATTAAAAATAAAACTTCTATGATAATCAAAAGTTTATTCCTTCGGACTTGATTTTATAAATATGTTTTACTTCGCTGCACAACAATCTGGGTGATCTACGTTTTGAGATCATTTACATGGATCCGGGTCCTGAGCAGTCTAATCTCAGAAGGATATTTATCGTGCGAATTTCATCCCTCCGTAATGTAATATTTTTTGCCTCAAAAGAAAACTAAGGACACCCCTAGTTGAAACAAAGCATACTAGGAAATTTTCGTACATGTCAAAGCTTTTGTTTGAGCTGGCAAAACTTTCCAGTCCATGTACAGATGATCAAACTACAAAGCTTGAATTGTGTTGTGGACCTTCAAACTAAATTGAGGAGTGAGAACAAGAAAAAATATGGACATGCTTTTGCCTCTTCGTCGTATTTGCCTACGCAACCATTGACTGCAATTCTAAAAGGATGTATAAAATAAAGCTTCCTGTCCTATTACAAAAAGACTTCAGCGATCAAGTTGGTAGTTTAAACCAGAGCGACAGACAATCAAGTGCGTATTAGTGTTCAAGTTACATGAACAGACAATGGCAACTAGCAGTCTAAATTATGCTAAGACAGCTACTTGTGCACAGCAAGCACCAACTTCAAGTATAGGGACAGTGTTTGATATGGCAACCCCCACAACCGACAAATTGATCTTATACCCATCAGCGATCACTCAAGGGACCCGACATAAGACCGTCAGTTATTTCGGAGGACATGTCTATACTGAACACTATCTAACATGATGACGCCGAAGTGATGCCAACTCAGATGCGGGTCAACATTATTTACATAGTCATGATATCGACGAATGATTAGAATAAAATTGTTAAGGCTCAACAGGCTCTATTGAACTGACAGATACTCGGAAAGTCACTGCGTAAGGCTACAAACACAATAAGGTAACCAAGTGGTGGGCTGGTAACGCAGTGATCGTGAACAGCTGAGGCAGAAGTAACGGAGAAAACGGTGGCGAAAGGCAACTCCAGACAAATTTTCAGCGAAAAACAAGTAATACAAACTGAGTTAAGAGACCATCTATGGAAAAGATGAGACAATGAACGGTCCTTTACCCAGGTGACAGGAACGATGGGGAGAATATTGGAAATTATTGTTTTCGTGAGTTGCTTACTTTATTCACCAAGCAACCTTGACATTTCAAGAATGAGGGAAAGTCAAGCTAATTTAAGACAAGGGAATGACAGGCCTTGGTGGATTAACCCCGAAGACTCATAAGGGTGATGGTTTATTTTCAGTTGGTAGACTGACTGAGATCACAGTTAGTCTCGACCACTCATTGTTTCAGCTTATAACAGTATGAAAATCCTTTTATGGTAACTACAGAAGAATAAGTTTGACATAGATTTTAAAACTGGACAATCACCCAATGTTTTGCTAGGTCTCATGAAAAGCAAATCTGGGAAAACCGGGTTGGTCTCAGACCTGGACGTGTGGGTAAAATATTCGCAATTTGCCATGTCCACATACAGACATACCTATGCACTCACAACCACGGTTGTACTTATCAGCCTTAAAGATCCATTTTATTTTGTTGATCATAAAATCTTGTGCAATATCTCTAAAAGCATAACAAACAGTAAAGTTGGGATTTTACGGGCTCTACTCGAACAATACTAATAGAGTCAGAGCTCATGGAGGGCTGTCA